CATAACGTAATGGCAGGGAGAAGAGCTACCCGATCGAAAACCTATAAAGACTTAACAGTGAATCAAGACTACTGGTACTGGTTATCATGTCATTGGTTAGTTCAGGGAAAAAGTGATAAAAGTCTATATTCTGAATGGCGGTTTTGTCACGTGATATTAGTAATCAGCCATAATTATTAACTAAAAGAAAAGAAAAATACCCTCTTCAGTTAACAGTAATCAAGTCAATTTGACCAAGTTGGTGTCTGAAGTACTCGCCTCTATAATCATTCAATGCTTAGCTAAGACTAGTAAAGAGTAACTCCGAGAAAACCTGGCTGGTTTCAGACCTGGATGTTGATTTTCGATCAAATATTTCCCGTATCATCAGATTCTGGAACATAGATATACTTTCCGACATCTAATCATAACTACGTTTCTTTATCACAAGGCAGCGTTTGACTCCGTAGATCTGATACTTTTTGCCAGAGTCTGTCACTGAAAGGTGTACCAAGAATGTAAATCAATCTTGTAAAGGCTCTTTATTCATACATTAATAGTTTGGTCAAAGATTAAGGCTTGCAATCATCAGAATAACCAGCTTCAAGTAGTGTTCGTCATGGCTGCCCACTATACCTCATTTAGTTGACTTCGTCATAGACACGTTATTTATTAGAAAATACTAGAAAATAGCCACCTAATAAAAAAAGTCTATAGTTTTCATCGATTAATATCATTTTAACAATCAAGAATGTTACTTTAGTTAGTTTAGTTTAGTTCAACTTAAACATAAAACTTGAATATCAGTCTAAAAAAATAATAATAATAAACTTTTACTGATCACCAATCGATTAGTTACTTTTACATCTAATTGAATCATTAAAATGTGATCCCTTATCATGAAATGAATGAGGATTTTTTTCTTTTTCTAAACTTAAGATCATTTCAGTAATTTATTATTGATTAACCATAATAATAAGAGATCTAATATCAAATCAATAAAAGAAAATGTATTAAACATTCATTATAATCAATAATGAAATTTTTTTAATGCTTAAGCCTCTATTGTGTTGGACATAGAATTTAAAGAAACAATTTTACTAATATAGATTATAATAAAAGATGATAGTGGGGCGGGGGCAGGGGGGTAATGTTGTTGTTATTGTTGTATATTGATGATGATTGTTTTATCTGTATTAAACGTTAATAGTTTAGTTTCTAAAAAAGGGGATATTTCTGTTTTATAATGAAAAAGCAACTACTAAATGTTTTTAAGTACAAAATATCAATGAATAAGATAAATTTATTGATTTCTTAGTTTGTAATTGAAAACTTTCTCACTTTGCTCCTTTCAAAATAATAAACGGAATCGTCTGTAGAATACATAAAAACCGTTCACTTATGTGGTGGCTATCTGAACTCAATATCTAAGTGGATAACGCGGTGACGATTGAAACGAACGGCACTGGGTTCGAGTCTCGGAGTGAACATCAGGTCTGAGATGCAGGTACATCCAGCTAACGAGTCTCAAATCTGATAAAAACGCGCGTCTTGGATTCCACTGTTAGACACCATCCGTTTTTGCCTACTATGTATTTTTATTATAAACATTAATCTTATTTCCCAGTTATAGTAAACATTGATTGATGATTTGATAACATCAAATGAAGTCAATTATTTTCTAATTTAATCCTACAATCAATGTAAAACGTTATATCCATCTCAAATGAGAATCTTTTACTAGAAAAATTAAAAAAATTGATTTATGCCTTAATTCTAACAAGTAGTGAACTAAAGTACATCTGATTTTAACACATTTGCTAATGCTTCCTCTAAGAACCTACCTAACGAGTAAAATAACTTCCAGAGTATATTCATTAGTTAATCAATCTGAATATAAGCATTGGTTATTAATATAATACAAAGTAGAACAACACATATAAACGAAAAATACTGTTTTCATTTAGATCGTCATCAGGTTTTACTCTGACATACACGGATCTTTATGTCAGTCTAAGAAATATTAAACTAATGAACTCGATTTGAATCAATGATCACACTGAGATGGACTACAGATAATAAGTAAAAAGTACAAATTAATAATAAGAAGACAAGTGGATTAGTAGTAATAGGAATAATAAAATGATAAACGTTTTAATGCAAAGTGAATTGCATTTGGATGGTAGCTTAATCAACAATAAAACAAATTGTTCTTATAAAGAGTAATTAACTGAAAAGTGTTTATACATTTTATCTGTTGTTTTATATTTAAGGTTAATTTAAAAGTAACTTCCATAAGCTAAAACATACCAACCATTTTATTACGTCAAAATGATCTCAGTTGGCACCTATTATGTACAGTCAAACAAAGTTTATTATACGTGGTATTAAATACACATATACAGTATATGGAAAAAAAGCACAACACGCTTTCAGTAATGGTACCCCTTTACACTGATGATAGGCTGAAATGCAGTCAAGAATCGAAACTAAAGGCCTACATGATAATTTCAAAATATCACGAAATTACTATTGTATTGATTTTTATATCACTCTGATTATTGCACTTCACATACTCAATACTAAAAATCCAAGTTCCTGTGCATAAATCTTTATTACTGATTCAGCTTCTCAATCTAAATGTCGCTAAATGACAGTCAGGAATTTATGATCAATGCATATCGCAGCTTTACTGATCTATTTTACGCCAAATCTGAATGTACAATTACAAGGGGACTTTCGACTAACTTTAAAGATACTCAAGATTTTATTCACTTAAGAATGAATAAAAGGTTTAATGATTCTAAACAATTGTAATTAACCTTGTAGGAAATCTGTTGATCAATGCACTCACTGAAACTACATATTAGGACACTTTAGATACCATACAGCTTACTTCATGGAGAATTTACGTACGCTTTATGTGGATTTAAGATAGATATCTTATGCCGTTTAATTTAACCAAGCTGTCAATAAATACGAATGACTAAATCATTATTCGGGCTAGTTATTATGAGGTCCTAGGAGAAAGGTTAAGTAAATCTTCCTCTATCAATATTATTCAAATAAACCTTAATAAATGATTGGCGGATTAATATTTTCTTTTCAAAAAATATACTAGAAATCCTTGTGGAAACATTTGTTAGGAATTACAAAAACACTAGTTAAACCATCCAGCTCAGAGAACAAAACACTAGTTACATATTACATAGATAATTGTCAACTTTACAGTTAATCACTTCCATATTTGATTTATGGTGTATTATAACTATATACATAGAACCATGAATATTTCCCTCCTTTTAAAAAGAATAAGCCCTTAGTGAAAAGTGAGTAAAAATATGTCGTAAGAACCATATAAATGAATCAGTTAATCCTTATCTTCTTAATTCTTAAGCATTCTAAACTTGTCATGTACGAGGAATTGTTAAGGTTATAGTCCTATTTTAAAAAAAATACAATTACTCAACACACGTCAGCTTCATTTTAGATGTAAATTTACCATGATTTTGACGATAAAAGTAAGGAGAAATTAATCGGACCAAATTTCAAATCGTCTTACATTCTTCAATTACAGTTAAAATACTAGAATTAGTTAATATAAAAGACTTCACTAAATTGTAAACACGGGACCTAGAAGTAAAACTTCATTTCTTTTACTTAAATCAAACTAAAATTCATCATTTAGCATTTATACAAAGTTGAAATAAGTGTTATAAGGAGTTAGTAACATCGGCTGTTTCTTGAAAGTTGTGAAACCATAATAACATAAAATTAACGATAATATACATAGTTATGGACGTAAAATATCCAGCTACCTAATAAGATTTTAATATATTTAATACATATGAAGGAAATTTCAAGTGCATATTTACCTATCTTAAAAGCTATAAAGCTATCAGGTACATCTGTTTCCTTTCATTTATGAGAGGCACTTCTAAACAAATGAATATACTTAGGAAATAAAATTATTTTTAACAGTATATTTGTATATTTTTCATTCTATATACAAACAACAAAGAAAAAAATTAAACATTTAACACTGATTATCAAGACTTTTGTTTCTACCTACTTATTGAATCTTCAAGATATCACACTAATCATAATAACGTACTTCCCATTTCATCATCAATTAAAGCATCGTGTGTTTCAGATTTCTTTTGCAAAGAAGGTGATGATTTTTCCTTCTGCTTAGTAGTTTCCTGATTTTCTGTATTGAGGACTGGAACTGTGAGGCAAACAAAATATCTCTTTTCAGAACATAAATGAACCCCCCACTGTCCAGAACTATAATCAACAGACGTGCATCTTTGTTCACCAATTCGCATGGAAGTTATTTCTGGATTAGGTAAGCGAATAAGACTGAAATCACTTTTACTACCGTCAACCCAGTGCAAAACATAAATGGGTCTTGTAAACTCATTCATTGTTTTAGTAATTTTACCTCCTATCCAAAATGAATGCTTTTCTTGTTTGGCTACCCACTTTACCAAAGCTAGATTTTCTGGATATGAATGAACGGATGCCAGAGAAGTTCGTAGGACCATTCCATCCTTATAACTTTGTGATGGATTGGAAAACAGATGCTGACGGTCTTGTTTATCTTTTGAATCATCCATGTTATTTGTATCAGATAGCCCTCCAACAGATTTACAGTAATGTTCCGCTGCAGAGAAATTAAGTTTTGCATCTACATCACCATGGACAAATGTAAAAATGCGAGGTCCAAGAGCGCCTTGACTTTTTTCCAAAGCATAAGCTGCATTATAGGAAAGAACAAACTGCACAACAAGTAGTAACATAACTTGTGGGTATTCAGCATATGAGTTGACGCAAGTGATGAATACAACTCAACTCAATATTTTGCAGCCATCACTAAATTCACTATTCTAAGTTTTTTTAGAGATATTATTCTGTAAAATGACTAATCACTTGTTTTCTGAAGTGACCTTAACTTTATTCATACTAAATCATGACCTTCAGATTTCGTAGTAGTTCAATATTATACAACACTACAAAAAATGGGATCTAGTAACAGCACAGTTGCTAATGTGTCCAAGGATGAGCCACTACAAAGATTTGTAGGGACTGATGGAATACCACCTAACAGTGAATATTGGAGGGAATTTTTGTCTTCGGTTGGCTCAACAACAAAAAGCAGGTGTGTGAATTTGATTCTCAGCTCACCGAGCTCTTGATACAAGCTCTCTCATAGACTTTGAAAAAGCAAATAAAAGTTTGCTAAGGGATTTGAAAAAAAATAACCTTCACTCTCGTAACATTCCTAACCTCACGCAATTTCTTATATCAAAGATGTCAGAATTAATAGCCTCATCAGACATGTAGATTTATTTAGCAATTATCCTGTATTTTTAGATGCGAAGATACAGTATTAATTGCTCAAAATGGACTACTTATTCTACGTTTATCGGTGAAGTACTTGATGGAGCACTGCTCTGAAGCTAGATTTTTCTCTCACTTCTCTGTTAATTCTCCTGAAGGTATAATTATCTTCAGTCAAACAGTGTTTTCCCTAGGTCCTCATTGTTTGTCTGTAATTGAATGTTTGTTCCCTGTACTTTTCAGGCTCATAACTAATCTGCTCATCCAGTAAGTTCAATTTTACCATTCATTGTTTTCAGAGACAATACTTACTTGTTGCATTGCGAAGCTCATTTGTTGTGTATAGTGTTACTCTCTAGACAAATGTATAAAGAACTATCGGCTCCTCTACCACAAGTCTACGTTTCTGTTGTCTGGGGAAAGTGGTGAGTTTATTGTAGACTATTCATATGGTTTTTGTAATTCATTTCATTACCACTAAATGTTATCTCTTGCCACATTTATCCGTATCTGCTCTCCCTTCGGCGACACGGATAGTTGGTCCGGTTTCTTCGAAAAGCGCCTAGCAAGAACCCTGACTTCGCTTATTCTACTTGATAATCTTAGTGCGCTAACCATTACCAACCTTAGTTTATTACGTTGTCGCATATGAAAGTTCTCGTAACCTAAGATACCACCAGTCGTAGTGAGTTGAACTCCACTCGGCTCATTAGCGTTTAGTTCAGCTCAAGATAGAAAAGTAGGATCGAAAAGTGACTGTTTGGTGCTCTAACCGGGTTGGTGGATATGGTAGACTCACCTAGGGCGATCGGGAAACCCTGATTCCAAACCAAAGGTGCAAATGGACTTCAGGATCCTAAAGAAACAAATGGTGTATGGACCTATTGCTCGTCACCGGATGCCATAGCGCCTCCTTGTACCAGTGTTTGTGTTTAAATAGATGAAAATAGATCTGACCTTTCATCAACACTTGTTCTATCTGGGATACTTTTCATTCGCGTTGTAGTAAAAGTAAGCAAATGGATAATCTGAATTAGGATCGATTTGCGGGGCCACGTAAATAGATCTGGGTTCAGAATATCGTTCTTAGGTATCGAACATCAGTCTTGTGCTACGTAAGACATTTTGGTGACATAACTACCGGTTAGGTAGCATGAAACATTTGATAAAGATTCTCCCTGATGATAACCTATTTTTAACCAATATTACTGACAGTTACCGCCTTTCCTCTGTCTATTACTCAAACATATCATATTGCTATCAAATACCGATTGTCTAGGTTTTTATAAGATTATTGCCTTCGTATAATTCTGAAGTTTGCTGATGTAGCGTTATATGCAAGACTGATCTTAATTTCCCGTCGTCAGTTAATTTGTCTTCAAGTCCTTTGTCGGGCATGTCCCAAAGATTGACTGCAGCCTATCGTAGAACTGATCTTTAACGTTTTCATTGTAATCGTTGGTAGGCGCATAGCATTAGATGATGTTCATTCTAATGAACTTTTTCTTTGTTTTGAGGGGGGCTTTGATGATCCTGGTTCCATGAGATTACCATCCTATAAGTGCTTTTTGTACTTGTTTGGATAGCATTAGTACAACTCCTTGTGTATGTTGAGCATTTTCTTCATGGCCGGAGTATATCAGCAGCCCTCCTGAAGCTAGTCTTTGTTGTCCAACCTACGTCCATTGTGTTTCACTGATTCTAAGGACCTCCACGTTGTATCTTTTCATTTCTGCAGTAACTTGTATGACTCTCCTAGTCTTCTAGATTGTACGAACATTCCATGTACTCGAATAAATGGTTGCTCTGGTTACCAGAGGGGCATCAGCCTCGTGACTTCTGAAGGAGATCGGTTTCCATCATGAGGCGTCCTAACTCTTCTAAATGAAGACCTTCTGACTCCCATGGCAGAGTTTAATTGGTTTGAATTATTTTTTTTCTGGTTAGCGTTTTTTTAGCGAGCTAGTTTTCTACGGGATGGGGTCGCTAACCCTATTTCCAACCCTCCTCCTTTATTCGGGCTCGGGACCGACATTAACTCTAAAGGGGCTCCAGGTGGAGTTAAGATTCCGCCTTGCAGTAACATTTTTACTCTCCTTTCCCGAAGCAGTTACTTTAAGTGTTTATCCGTTTTATTATGTATCTTTACAGGAACGAAAGTATTGCATTTCAAAATCAGATCAACTACATTTTATTGTTTAGCCTGATTGTTTGTTAGTCGTTTCATTCTTTTTTTGCATTCCAGTGCATCTCTTGCTCCTGCTTTAGTTTACCGATTATTGTCTAACTTTTCTGAAAATCGTCCTGTCCCAACACTTTTACATGGCATTGAACAATACAGTTTAATATGGCGTGCGGCGTCGTCGATTGCAGGTATGTCTAATCTACTTTACTGCATATATATCCCTGGTGGACTATCTTTTCGAAGTTACTTGTTCAGGTACACCAGATTTCATGCTTAGTATTTCCGGATTTAGGGTCATAAATCTATTCAATGTAGTCTTTTGTTAAAGAATAATAATAATAATAAGATTTGTGTTTACCTAGTTCGATTGTGTACAGATTTTGTGCAGATAGGGCTGGCCATGGCCGACTGCGTCCAAGCTATTGACTTCCGTCATACTTCGTAGGTTGTTCAAAACCCGAGACACATTGACTCACGAGGAGCAGGCTGGGTTTCGTTCTGCTCAAGGATGTATTGATCATATCTTCACCCTCCGCCAAATATTAGAACACCGTCATACTTATCAAAGGCCAACAATCGTAGTGTTTCTTGACATCAGGGCTGCCTTCGATTCGTTGGATAGGACTGTTCTCTGGGATTGTCTATTAAAGAAGGATGTGCCTGAGAAGCTTATCAACATCTTAAAGGCCCTATATACAAACACCTCAGGCAGAGTGAGGGCATAAAACCTTCTCTCTCTTTCGTTCCATTCGAGCAGTGGGGCTAGACAGGGTTGCCCGATCTCACCATTCCTCTTCAACTTTGCCATTGATGATATTCTGGAAACAGCTCTGATGAATGTAAGTAATGGTGGTGTGGATCTGTTGCCTGGAGAAAGACTTCTCGACCTTGAGTATGCGGACGATATTGTCTTACTGTGCGATAATGCCCAAGGCATGCAATCCGCACTTAATCAGTTGGCAATCAGTGTCCGTAGGTATGGTATGTGCTTTGCACCTTCGAAGTGCAAAGTACTTCTACAAGACTGGCAGGATTCCAATCCTGTACTCACCCTGGATGGTGAGCAGATAGAAGTAGTCGAGAAGTTGGTGTATCTAGGTAGCTGTGTAAGTGCTGGTGGGGGTGTGAGTGATGAGATCAATGCACGTATAGTGAAAGCCAGAGCGGCTTATGCCAATCTGGGCTATCTTTGGCACCTTCGTGCTGTCAGTCTGGCTGTAAAAGGTCGGATCTACAACGCGTCGGTGAGAACAGTTTTGCTCTATGCTTGTGAAACCTGGCCTCTTCGAGTTGAGGACGTTGTCTCCGAAGGATTGCTGACATTCAGTGGCAACACCATGTCAGTAATGCAGAGGTTTGGCATCGTGTGTTCGTGTTCGTGTGTGGTGTCACCATCTTGAAACACCGACTTCGGTGGCTTTGACATATTCTACGAATGTCGTCCCAGTGAATTCATCTTCGTGCATTATTTGCAGACGCTCGGACTGGTTGGAAAAAGCGGAGAGGTGGTCAGTGTATGACATGGTGTCGTAGTATGAAAGAACGATTTAAAAGGATGGCTTCTGTTGGTCCTTCTCGACTCCCTGACTCTCAATCCAGGAGATTGGATCGATAGGCAGAACACTTTAGGGATCAGTTCAACTGGTTTTCAGCCACACTTCGGTTTCCCACGATCTCCAGTCAACCTGAATGGCAAGTTAATGTAGGTCCTCCGTCCCTTTACGAAGTTGAAAAAGCCATAGGAAATGTGAAACGAGGGAGAGCAGCAGGCCCTGACAGGTTTACTCCTGAGATTTTTAAGGATATTGGTTCGGTATTAGCAGTGAGATTAACCGAGGTCTTAGGTAGAATTTGGGAACTGGACGTAATCCCATCTGACTGGTCTCAATCACTGATTGCGCCAGTCCATAAGAAAGGACAAAAGTCCTCTTGTGACAATCACAGAGGAATCAGTTTGACTAATATAGTGTCTAAAATACTGGCCTCAATAATACTTCGACGCCTAATCAAAGCTCGTGAGTGACAGACTAGAGAAAATCAATCTGTTTTTCGACCTGAACGTGGTTGTATAGATCAGATATTCACACTACGTCGGGTTCTAGAACACAGACACACGTTCAGACGCCCCACAATCGTGGTATTTCTCGACCTTAAAGCAGCATTCGACTCTGTCGATCGTAAGGTTCTATGGTAGCGTTTGTCACTGAAAGGAGTACCAAAGAAGTACATTAACCTTATAAAGGCTCTCTACTCGAACACAACTGGTAGAGTGAGAGCTTATGGCGAACTGTCATTAGAATTGATTACCTCAAGTGGTGTTCGTCAGGGCTGTCCACTCTCCCCATTCTTGTTCAACTTTGTCGTCGACGTACTTTTAGAGATAACACTTTCCTCGTCTAGATTTCCAGGGGTTGAACTTCTACCGAGAGGTTCACTTGTTGACTTAGAATATGCTGATGACATCGTTTTATTTGGTGAAGACGCTGACAAAATGCAGAGTCTTCTGACCACTCTAAGCAACAATGCAAGCATGTTCGGGATGCGATTCTCTCCCTCGAAATGCAAAATGTTGCTTCAGGATTGGGTTGCATTGACACCCGAACTAATGATAGGGAGTGAAGTAATTGAGCGTGTCGATCGCTTCACTTATCTTGGAAGTCTCATCAGCCCTTGTGGTCTGGTGTGTGACGAAATCTCAGCACGGATACAGAAGGCTCGACTAGCTTTTACCAACTTGCGTCATTCATAGCATAGGCGAGATATCCGTCTATCAACCAATGACGTGTTTACTGTGCAGTAGTTCGTTCCGTCCTAATTTATGGCAGTGAAACATGGCCGGTAAGAGTAGAGGATATTCGTAGGTTACTAGTATTTGATCATAGACGTCTTCGAAATATTGCTCGTATATCGTGGGACCATCGAGTAAGTAATGCAGTTGTTAGGAAACGGGTACTAGGTAAGGATGGCAACCCGATTGATGAAGTGGTGAAACTTTATAAGTTGAAATGACTAGGAAACGTGTCACGTATGCCCAACCATCGACTGCCTCGATGTGCGATGTTTTGCTGTATAGGAGTAGATTGGAAGAAAGCTAGGGGCGGCCAGACCAAAACATGGCACAAGTCCATGAAGTCACTGATAAGTGGACTGAGTCATGTTGGTAGGTGTAGACTACTCGGTTGGGGACCGCGAGATGATAGCAACCGATGGTTAGAGACCCTGAATGACATGGCTCAAAATCGTTTGCAATGGCGCTGGTGCATACACTCCTTGTGTTCTCCCAAATTTTGATCTCCTTATCCCTCCTTGTCTCTTTTTTTTCTTTTCGAAATTTATTTCACTGGATTATACTCTTTAAATAACATCTCCAAACACTAGTTTCCCCGATTACTGCTTATACAGCTATTACGTCTACCACTAAGGGATTTAAATCGACGACTGCATCTCTGAGCTAATGTGGAGTGGCAACTGGAGCTGATGTACGTACGTACGAAGTTCTACGTTGTTACCGACTGACTTACTGACCCTGACTAGGGTCCTAGAGATAGTGCAACACAGTGGCTAGAGACGTTATCAGATATGTCTCAGAGTAGAAGCCAGTGACGATCCTGCTATAACCTTTTTTTACTTCATAAAAAGTGGTTGTAATTTCCTTAACTGCAAGTATTATTTTTGGTCGTACCTTACTGTTTCCCCTTTTATTATTATTATTATTATTATTATTATTATTATTATTATTATTACACTACCATACACTAAACAGTGGTCGTTATTGTTCTCTTATTTTCCTTCTCTCTCATACATACCGTACACCTCTTTCCCTTCCCATTCTCATTGTTATTGGTGGCACATATTTATGTGTTCAAATAAATAATAAATAAATAAAAGCTGACAAGCTTCTGATGAAATAAGCGATGTTTAGGCAATGGTTGTTGGACCCACATATATTCGGTTGACTTTATTCACCCATCGAGTTAGTAGCAATAGTTGTGTTTAATGATGTACCATAGTAAATTGTGCGCTGTTATTGAAATTCATCTGTCTTAATTTTAGGTAGTTTAGTTACAATCGTCACATTTGGTGGTTACTTTAGTCGCACTTCCAATAGTTCAACAAAATCAGATATACAGAACAGTCCGCATGTTGCAGTTGTTGAACCAGTAAAAAATAATGTTTCCACAGATCTTTTAACATCAGAATCTACTATCAAATCAAACGAACAGTGTCATCTATTGTCAAATGTCAGCTCACTACTTTTATTGATACTTACTACTCAGGCTGGATCTATTGAGAAGACTGTATCAACTTATTCAGAAAATAATATTAAAGATTCAAATTCTTTAGGACGAAATCCATATCGAACAACACTTTTTTCTTTACAAGATGAAGTTACTCAAAAATACCAAGTTGATTTAATACTGGATACAACTCACGTGCTGCCAAAGTCAAGTTAGTCTTAAGCATTAAGGCTTTTGTGCACAAGTTCACTCACTATTATTCCTTTTTATAATTATAAATAACACTAATGCTTGATTTTAATATTTATCATCACTTTAACTTCTACGAAAGTGAATTTAATGTTAATCGATAGATGAAAAGAAACATAAAAGCCTTCGGTTAAGAACTTTATGTATTGATTTCAGATTATATAGCCAAAGTAATCTGATACGAATACGTTAAAGTACCGATTCGCTGTTCTGATTAAAGTTAAAGAGAGCGATTTTGATAATAAACTGTAGGCTGTGCATATGCAGCTGCACTATTATGAATATTTTTATGTTCGAATAAGTATTTTATTCTAAGTTTTATGTGATATCAGAGGTTTTTAAGATATTGTTACTGGATTGTTTTTCAAAGGAATTACAGTGTTAGCCAAGCTGGAAGGAACCGGACAACTAATGCTTATTACAACTTGAATGATAATAATAATAATAATAATAATAATAATAGAAGTCAGAGTCTTTGGTGCACCCTGATAAAATCACAAAATTCAACTGGAATAGCTCTTGATCTCTTTGGGGTTTCAATTACTCTGCAACTGAAGATCATTAACGTGTTCATGTTACTGTCTATTCCACAGTGAGTAACTTCGTATATCTCAGACTTACTATTGACATATATTCAAATTATCAATATAAGGTTGTGCAGATCGTTGAGTTTAGATTGGTATCATGTGTGGATCAATGTTAGACCACCATTGAAAACCTAGAAGCAATGGACAGTCGTTTCGTTCTCATATGGGACTCCTCGGCAGTGCTCATTCACGATCCCGCACGTAGAATTCGAACCCAGGACCTTCGATCTCGCGCATGAATTCTTGAACACTAGACTGAGCCGGCATCCAACAGTGTTAATGTCTAGCTTCAACCAATACACGAAATCGCACAACCGTTCATCATTGTCTTCAGTGAGTAACAGCCTCAAAACAGATACAGTTGAACTCCATTGGTCACGGCTTCTCACTAGCATTGCAGGAAACCCATCGTGAAGCCGGTCACTATTGATCACGTGATTCATATTACTTTAAGAAATTGAGATAAAAGTTAAGGTATAGAAAATAAATTTCAAATGTATTAAATATTCTCATCGTAACATTAAAGCGATAAGTTGAGGAAAGAAATATTTCTTTCAATTGGTTCTTCGTTAGGGCTCTGCTCTAATATATGAGTTTTACAAATGAATGGAAAATGAATACCAATTATATTTCAAGCGAGCGAATTCAACTAACCAAACTTGTACAATGCAAGTTTTCCGTGAGGTGTAGTGGAAGAAGAATTAATGGTTGACTCGGTTGTATGTATACACGAAATAACCGAAGGACAATATAGACAAACGTACATATGGTAAAATGTTACGATCAATTGTATATGAACGTATACTATCCAATAAAGTTACTATTACAAATGCAACGGTCACATGTTTATATCTGTTCACACAACTGCTTGTTTTACTGTCATATAAATTCGTGATAAGATTGTAGATTTGAATAAATATTTATTGCATACCAAGTATGTTGAGCGGCTTCATTCGTCTTGTATATGTTATTTGTACTTCAGCCCCTCGATTACAGCCAGGTGGTGCTACATTAAATGGACATTTAAACATAGTTACTCAATCACCATCACCACAAATAAATTTCACTGCAATCTGTGATACAGCAGCTTCGACATTGTCTCAGGACAGTAGCCCACTGTTATTGTACCTTTTAGTTCATCGAAATACAAACTTTCATTCGTTCATTATGCAAGAGCGGGGTTATGAGAAAGTGGTAAGAAGTCATTTTTTATATCGTTTGTGCTACAAAACACCAACATAACGATTAATTCTGTTTCATATGCTATTGTTAGTTTCAAAGTGACTTACATTATCATTGCGATTGTAAGTGGAACAAAATTATTTGTAAAACATTACATGTAATTAGTTTATTTGGAACCATTATATAATAAATATCATATCTAGCAGACAACTATATGAGGTTAGATGTTATTAGGATGAATTGTGGAGTATTCATACTCTCATAGCATAAACTCTACCACCGTATGGTAGTTTGGATGTTGTTGGAACCATAGTTCTTATAGGAATTATTTATACTACAAAACATCTTAAAACATATACTCATACGCAATTCTATAGTACTGTTTCTAAAATAACTATTAAGTGATACGTCGTTTATCAACCATGGAGTTGTGGCTTAGTGGTTAAGGTGTTCGACTTGCTACCACTAAGTCTCAGGCTCCAACGCCCTCTTCACCTACTTCGACTTGGTTGATCAGGAAATATCAGTAGTTTTCATACTTAAAGTCTGGCTCATACTCCAGTACTTGGTGGATGATTTAGTTCCATTATGGCCTATATGCTGATGCTTAGACGAATGCTAAGATTAACATTAGTTTTGTTAGCTTTTTGATACGGTATACTATCGCTCATATCGGCAGATAACTCGATTCAATTAATGTACTATTTCTTCTGTCCCAAACACCTTAGTTATTGGTAACTTACTGACCGGAAAACATGTCCCTTATTCAACTAAACATTAAATTTAGCAAGTTTTATTATTTGAACAGATATCGTATGATTAAGCTGGCCATCAAACCACCTGTCCTTTCAAATTAAGAAGTTTCAGCATTGATGGTAAGCATATGGACTGGTTCGAAAGGATACACACCCGACCGTTGTTGCTACCTTGACGTGGTGGTCGGGCTTGCCTATCGTGATGAAGCGACCGAGCTATACTGACTGGAACAGCCGTTCCTCAAGGTCCTACCATGTCAGACAGGTCGGTTGAAGAGCGGTAAGACTAAAAGCAACAAACCTAAGATCCGAAGGTGAAGTCGTACTGCTGACTGTACAGAGGTGTGACAGCAGTAAGGTGTTTCCTCCAGACAACCAGCATGATAGCAATGCTGCCTTCCTACGAGGAGGGGTGGGGTTAGAAAAGGTCGACTTTGAAAATGCGCACCTCGCCTTATCCCACGGATATCTGTCTCCGGCGGTAAGGTCTCAACAAGTACGGAGCTAACACAAAAATCACCCATATAAAGGTCGTGTGTGACCGACCTCAAGCATTTGTCCCTTGGGCACTGTGGTAACGCTCTCAAGTCACTAGGACTACCTGTAATCGAATTTCCTTTTCAGGTACCTCCAGAAGAACCCTTCCACGGTGTGGGCAACCGGGAAGTGATAACCGCCCTCGAACCTCTAACAGCACTCAAGACCACTGTATTCATAATCAACCTCCCTCTTCAATTCCTATTATTCCTCCTACGTCGACTTTCAACGCTAAACTTCCTCTTTCGGATTCCTCCTCAAGTGTCACCATAGCCAACGATTCTAGTGAGCAAAACACTGTCCCAGGTCTACTGAAACCTCGCTCCAACTACAACGTACGCTCCCTATATCAAATCGGTCAGCAGGCTTCCTTGGCTAGAACCCTAGAATCTCGTACCATTGATGTATGCCGTGTCTCCGAAACACGCACACAGAATCCTAGTGCGGTCATTCACTTGACCTTACCTCGGAAAAAAGACAGAGAGTCGACGAGACACCCTCCGTGTATCTGGTGACCCGATGGCCAGTTCTCGTGGACTGGCAGGTGTAGGCATGGCACTAAGCATGAGGGCGGAACTAGCACTGTTATAGTGGATCCCCGTTAACAGTCGTTTATGTGCTGTTCGGCTAAACGGCTCCGTAAGAATTCGGAAGGCTAGGGACACACGTCGTTGCCTTTTTACCGTTTCTGCTTACGCTCTCACTGACTGCAGCTCGGATGGAGTGAAAGATGAATTTTACAGAAGGCTCTCTGAACTTCTTGAGAAAACTAAACGTTTAGACATATAACTCTCGGGAGGTGAATTTAATGCCGAAAAAGGTAGTTTAAACCAAACCGAAAAGCGTTTAGGTTGGTATTTTAGTATTCCGGCACAACGAACAGGTAATGGTGATCGTCTGCTGCAACTGTGCTCAGACAATCGTTTATTCTTGGCAAACACAAATTTTAAGCATAAGGAGAGACATCGTCTAGCATGGCGACCCCCTACATCATACCAACGATGGACTCAAATAGACCATATTGCCATCAGTCATCGTTGGAGAGGGTCGGTAGAAGATTGTTGCTTATTGTGGAATACCTGCTTGGACTCCGACCATGCCCTAATACGGGCACTCATTTGCTTGCGTCTCACTGGACGCATAAAAACAACAGAAAAAAGACCCATTAGAACTGAGTCGAGTAACCAGAAAACCATAAGTAGGTTCCAGGAACAACTGAGGTCACACTTAGGTAGTTCAGAAAACGAGGCTGACCCAGATTTTGCTTGGAAAAATATACGAACAGCAGTGACATCTATCAGTGATTTAAACCACAGGGTTACAAAGAACCAATGGATTTCCTCAAGGTCTATTACACTGATGGATTCTCGTAACCTCATCCCATCAGGCTTTGAACACGATAAAGAGCGACAACAAATCAGATCTAGGTTAAGCAAAAGTTCAAGGAACGACCGTGAGCAGTGGTGGGCAACGAAAGCAAAAGAGATGGAAAAGGCGGCGACTGTAGGGAACACAAGACAACTCTACAGACTAACAAAAGAAACTGGAATTAATAAGTCAAGTGTAAGTCAGACTATATCGGAAAAAGATGACACTCTCACCTGTCCCCAGTCCAGACGTTTAGAACGATGGGCGAAGCACTTTAAGGCGCAGTTCAGCTACTCTACAACTACCCTCCATTCTCAGACAGTGTGAATGTAACATTGAAGTAGTTCCCTCGACTCTATCTGAAGTTTGAAAGGCTATAGTTAATTTGAAACGAGGAAAGGCAACTGGTCTATATGGATTGGCTCCAGAGATCTTTAAGGATGGTGGTCCAATTTTAACGTTATCCCATCTGACTGGTCACAATCACTTATCGTCCCAATATATAAGAGAGGGTCAAAATCATCCTGTGACAACCACAGAGGGATTAGTTTAACTAATATAATATCTAAAATACTAGCCTCGATAATTATCAGACGATTAACTAAGACTCGTGAACTGCAAAAACGAGAGAATCAAGCTGACTTCAGACCTGGTTGTGGCTCTATCGACCACATATTCACCATTCGTCAGGTTCTAGAACATAGGCATAGTTATCGGCGTCCGACAATGGTGATCTTTCTTGACTTAAAAGCAGCATTTGACTCTGTAGACCGCGAGATTTTGTGGCGGTGTCTGTCATTGAAAGGCGTACCTCAGAAGTACATAAACCTTGTGAAGGCTCTTTACTACACTACCAGTCGAGTCAGAGCTTGTGGCGAACTGTCATCTGATTTTGCAACCTCAAGTGGTGTCCGTCAAGGCTGTCCACTTTCCCCATTTTTGTTTAGCTTCATCATACATCTGCTGATGGAAATAAAGCTGTCATCGACTGAATTCTCGGGTATTGATCTCCTTCCAGGAGGTCCACTTATCGAATTAGAATACGCAGATGATATAGTCCTGTTTGGTGAAGACGCTGACAAAATGCAGAGTCTTTTGGTAGCACTAAGCAACAATGCCAGAATGTTTGGAATGCGCTTCTCTCCCTCTAAATGCAAGTTGTTGCTTCGGGACTGGTTTGCGTCAACACCTGAACTAAGGATAGGGAGTGAAGTAGTCGAATGCGTTGACAACTTCACTTATCTTGGAAGTCTGATCAGCCCTAATGGGTTGGTGTCTGACGAAATCTCAGCACGGATTCGAAAAGCTCGTTTGGCTTTTGCCAACTTGCGTCACCTATGGCGAAGGCGAGATATCCGTCTGTCAATAAAAGGACGAGTATACTGCGCGGCAGTCCGTTCTGTTTTACTTTACGGCAGCGAAACATGGCCTTTAAGAATAGAAGACACCCGTAAGCTACTAGTATTTGACCACAGATGCCTTAGAAATACTGCTGGCATCTGCTGGGATCACCGGGTAAGTAATAGTGAGGTTAGACGCAGGGTATTAGGGAATGATGGTAAATCAGTTGATGAGGTTGTGAATCTTCTTCGACTGAGACGGTTGGGTGACGTGTTGCGTATATCTGAACACTGATTACCACGACGTGCAATGCTAACCGGTGTTGGAGATGGTTGGAAGAAAGTTAGGGCGACCAAACTAAAACGTGGCATCAGTGTTTGAAGACACTAACTTCTGATCTGAGCCATGTTGGTGGGTGCAGACTACCTGGTTTGGGTCGCGTGACTCGTAACCAATGGTTGGAGACTCGGTGATATGTCTCAGAATCGATGCACAATGGCGTAGGTGTATACACTCTTCGGCCACCCTTAAACTATGAGATTATGATTATTTCATATTTTTCTCTCCACGAACTAATTCTTTCTTCCTGTACTATATCCTTATATGCAATCTTTCTTTTATATATTACCACCTTTGACCTAACCACTCCTATGAATCCGGTGTTCATCTTGCTGTGCTAATGCGGCATGGTCAGTCAGTCAGTAACAACGTAGAACTTCGTACGTACGTACATCAGTTCCAGTTGCCACTCCACATTAGCTCGGAGATGCAGTCGTCGATTTAAATCCCTTAGTGGTAGACGTAATAGCTGTATAAGCAGTAATCGGGGAAACTAGTGTTTGGAGATGTTATTTAAAGAGTATAATCCAGTGAAATAAATTTCGAAAAAGAAAAAAAAGAGACAAGGAGGGATAAGGAGATCAAAATTTGGGAGAACACAAGGAGTGTATGCACCAGCGCCATTGCAAACGATTTTGAGCCATGTCATTCAGGGTCTCTAACCATCGGTTGCTATCATCTCGCGGTCCCCAACCGAGTAGTCTACACCTACCAACATGACTCAGTCCACTTGTCAGTGACTTCATGGACTTGTGCCATGTTTTGGTCTGGCCGCCCCTAGCTTTCTTCCAACCTACTCCTATACAGCAAAACATCGCACGTCGAGGCAGTCGATGGTTGGGCATACGTAACACGTTTCCTAGCCATTTCAACTGATGAAGTTTCACCACTTCATCAATCGAGTTGCCATCCTTACCTAGTACCCGTTTCCTAACAACTGCATTACTTACTCGATGGTCCCACGATATACGAGCAATATTTCGAAGACACCTATGATCAAATACTAGTAACCTACGAATATCCTCTACTCTTACCGGCCATGTTTCACTGCCATAAAGTAGGACGGAACGAACTGCTGCGCAGTAAACACGTCCTTTGGTTGATAGACGGATATCTCGCCTACGCCATAAATGACGCAAGTTGGTAAAAGCTAGTCGAGCCTTCTGTATCCGTGCTGAGATTTCGTCACACACCAGACCACAAGGGCTGATGAGACTTCCAAGATAAGTGAAGCGATCGACACGCTCAATTACTTCACTCCCTATCATTAGTTCGGGTGTCGATGCAACCCAATCCTGAAGCAACATTTTGCATTTCGAGGGAGAGAATCGCATCCCGAACATGCTTGCATTGTTGCTTAGAGTGGTCAGAAGACTCTGCATTTTGTCAGCGTCTTCACCAAATAAAACTATGTCATCAGCATATTCTAAGTCAACAAGTGAACCTCTCGGTAGAAGTTCAACCCCTGGAAATTTAGATGAGGAAAGTGTTATCTCTAAAAGTACGTCGACGACAAAGTTGAACAAGAATGGGGAGAGTGGACAGCCCTGACGAACACCACTTGAGGTAATCAATTCTGATGACAGTTCGCCATAAGCTCTCACTCTACCAGTTGTGTTCGAGTAGAGAGCCTTTATAAGGTTAATGTACTTCTTTGGTACTCCTTTCAGTGACAAACACTGCCATAGAACCTTACGATCAACAGAGTCGAATGCCGCCTTAAGGTCGAGAAATACTACCATTGTGGGGCGTCTGAACGTGTGTCTGTGTTCTAGAACCTGACGTAGTGTGAATATCTGATCTATACAACCACGTCCAGGTCGAAAACCAGCCTGATTTTCTCTAGTCTGCTCTTCACGAGCTTTGATTAGGCGTCGAAGTATTATTGAAGCTAATATTTTAGACACTATATTAGTCAAACTGATTCCTCTGTGATTGTCACAAGAGGACTTTTGTCCTTTCTTATGGACTGGCACAATCAGTGATTGAGACCAGTCAGATGGGATTACGTCCAGTTCCCAAATTCTACCTAAGACCTCGGTTAATCTCACTGCTAATACTGAACCAATATCCTTAAAAATCTCAGGAGTAAACCTGTCAGGGCCTGCTGCTCTCCCTCGTTTCAGATTTCCTATGGCTTTTTCAACTTCGTAAAGGGACGGAGGACCTACATTAACTTGCCATTCAGGTTGACTGGAGATCGTGGGAAACCGAAGTGTGGCTGAAGGCCAGTTGAACTGATCCCTAAAGTGTTCTGCCTATCGATCCAATCTCCTGGATTGAGAATGTATAATATGTCCATCTTTCTCTGACAGTGTTTCGCTAACAGTCGGTTTCCTAATATTGGTTTCCTTAACAAGTCACATGCATGGCTTCCTAACTGTTTTCCTAGTTGTTTCTGAAATATACTCTTAGCTTGACTATCATTAAGTAGGGCCCTAAGAAGTTTCCTTGCAGCGTCTTTCCTACGTCCAGTAAGACGCAGACAGATACGCGCTCGTACTAGAGCATGATCTGAATCTAGGCATGTGCTCCAGAATGAGCGACAGTCTTCTATCGAGCCCCTGCATCGGGGGCTGATAGCGATGTGATCTATTTGGGTCGAACGTTGGGACGAATTAGGGAGTCGCCATGTTGAAAGATGTTTTTCCTTATGCCTAAAGTTAGTATTTGCAAGGAACAGGCGGTTATCTGAGCATAGCTGCAACTGGTGGTCGCCATTATCTGTTCTTTGAGCCACAATGCTATAAGATCCACTCAGGTGTCTTTCCCTATCGCCTAATTTACCTACTTGAGCATTGAAGTCACCGGCCATCATTACTACATCCGAGCACCTAGCTTTTCGGAGAAGATCGGAGAGCTTTCTGTAAAACTCATCTTTTACATCATCTGCGCTGCAGTCAGTGGGAGAATAGGCAGAAACGACGAAGAGGCAACGACGAGTGTCCCTATCTTTCGAATCCTTACTGTTCCGTTTAGTCGGACAGCGCACAAACGACTGTCTACTGGGATCCTCTCTAAGAGAGCTAGTTCTGCCCTAGGACTCAATGCTATACCTACGCCGGCGAGGCCACGGGAAGCAGAATCCGGGCTTCCAGATACACGAACTGTGAATCGAGTCGGTTCTTTATTTTGGCATGGTAAGGTCAGATAAATGACGCTACTCGGATCCTGTATGCGTGTTTCGGAGACGCAGCAGACGTCGATGGCGCGGGATTCTATAGTCCTAGCTAAGGAAGCCTGTTGTCCTATTTGGCACAGTGTTCGGACGTTAAAAGCTCCTACGTGTAGTTTAGAGCGTGGTTTCAGGAGACCAGGAATAACGTTCCCGTACTCGAATCGTTTGCCCTAGCGATGCGAGGTGATAAAGAGACGTGAGGAGGGTTAGTCATGGAGATAAGAGAGGTATTAGGAGGTGTAGGAAGGATTTGAATGTGACCAACTTGGTCTGGTGTGCTGTTAGAGGTATGGGGGCTGATATCACTTCTCGGCTGCCCACACCGTGGAAGGGTATTTCTTGAGGAACCTGAAAAGGAAATTGGATTAGTGTTGGTCTTAACGACCTGGGAGCGTGACCGCAGAGCCCAAGGGACAAATGCTTGAGGCCGGTCGCGCACGGCCTTTTCGTGGAAGGTTTTTAATGTGTTAGCTCCGTTCTTCAAAGGGCCTTACCGCCGGAGACGGAAATCCGTGAGGTAAGGTGAGGTGTGACATTTTTAGGGTCGACCTTTTCTAACCCCACCCCTTCTTGTGGGAAGGCAGCATCGCTGCAGATGCTGGTTGTCCGAGGGAAACACCTTACTGCTGTCACACCTCTCTACAGTCAGCAGTACGACTTCGCCCTCAGACCTTGAGTTGCTTCTTTTAGTCTTACCGTTCTCCAATCGACCTGCCTGGCATGGTACAACCTACAGGAACATATGTTCCAGCCAATATAACTCGGTTGGGTCATCACGATAGGCAAGCCCGACCACCGCGTCAAGGTAGCAGCTTCGGTCGAGATGCGGTATGGCAACTTGGACCGATGCATAAATGTGGCTGGTCCTACGTTGTAGCTGACTGAATGAAATGATATACTAATAAATAATATTCTCAATAATTTGAATGTGTTTTGTTTGTCAGTTATGAAAATAAAATCTTGTTCTATGTACATTACCATTTCGTTTGTTAATTTATTTTCAGCTTCCACCATTATTAAATATTCTATATAAATCCCAATCACATAATTCACATCTTGTCTACATGGCATTAATTCTGTTGTTGATATTTACGGAAAATGAACAATTTGGACGCGATATTCACACATCAGTGAGTTATTTTTTTAAAACACAATTATATAGACGAAGAATATTATTTTCAATAGTTTCTCATCAGGTTCCTGTTATAACTTGTAGCCTGTGTGCCCTGTTAATGTATAACGTAACGATACCGCCAATTAGACAGCAGTAAATTATCGATCGGATCAATGACGCGTAAGACCCGTGCGACCAGTCTAGAGTCCTTATTGGTCCTGCTTTCCGCCTAGCCCAGCCAGTTATGTCCAGAACACCAGTCTCAGCCTCTGCAACATGAATCGTTTATTTCAAACATACTAGGTTTATATACCAATCAGACAGACCACATCGTACCATAAAATGGAAAATAACATTTGTACAATATTTTGCCAAATGCGGCTGTGAAGGTGGGAGGCAGTGGCTTATAGACAGGGCATAAATCAAGAATGGAAAAACGTATAATAACAGTTTATAGGTTAAAATAAAGCTTATGATAAGAGAGACATGAATATGAATAGTTTAGTTAATTAACAATTATACGATAAAAGTATACGCATTTTATCGGTTCACAAATGGATCCCAAAAATTACCATTTATTAGGCTTATCGGGACTTAACAGTTCTACAATTATAAATCCAAATTAATAATCCATTAAATTGGCCAGATTTAAGGCGGCGTACGCCATTTAAAGTTGTAATATGTGAATCAAGAATTGTTGTTTGTCATACAAAATCAAATCAAATCGTTACTTATATATTTATTTAAACACATAAACATTGGTACAAGGAGGCACCAAATAGATATGAGTCACATGAGTCATTCGATTTATGTGAGTGCTGAGATACTGCCCGGGTGCCCTAACTGACGTAGGTGGTTTTGTTAGGGGGACACACCCAAGGCCTTCGACCTAAAGGTCCGATCCACGAGGCAGTGGAGCAACGTCAGGAGATGCAGTCCCATGGTAGCTGGTGACCAACAGTTGGTTCATACGCTATTTGTTCCGTCAGGATACTGGAGCCCATGTGCACGATTGGTTTGGAATCAGGGTTTTCCAACTCCCCCAGGCGGACTCTCCGTGAACACCAACCCGGTTAAGGCGCCACACATTCTCTTTTCGTCTTCTTAATTTCGTAAAGAACATAAGTGCCTCGAGAAGGCAGTGAGTGGAACTTCCCTGGTAGTGGTCGTATGCACATGGTCATGTGAGAGCATTTGGAGAAGGACAATTGACTCTCCACTCTCGACCATACCAGGGCATTTGGGGGCCCTGGCCAATTTATTTATGTGACCAGTTACCGTAATAGTTTTGATAAGTCTACTTCCGATTGCGTCCAAGCTATTGACTTCCGTCATACTTCGTAGGTTGTTCAAAACCCGAGAAAGATTGACTCGCGAGGAGCAGGCTGGTTTTCGTTCTGGTCGAGGATGTATTGATCATATCTTCACCCTCCGCCAAATGTTAGAACACCGCCATACTTTTCAAAGGCCAACAATCGTAGTGTTTCTTGACATCAGGGCTGCCTTCGATTCGTTGGACAGAACTGTTCTCTGGGATTGTCTATTGAAGAAGGGTGTGCCTGAGAAGTTTATTAACATCCTAAAAGCCCTATATAAAAACACCTCAGGCAGAGTGAGGGCATACAACCACCTCTCTCCATTGTTCCATTAGAGCAGTGGGGTTAGGAAGGGTTGCTCAATCTCACCATTCCTCTTCAACTTTGCCATCGATGACATTCTGGAAACAGCTCTGATGAATGTAAGTAATGGTGGTGTGGATCTGTTGCCTGGAGAAAGACTTCTTGACCTTGAGTATGCGGACGATATTGTCTTACTGTGCGATAATGCCCAAGGCATGCAATCCGCACTCAATCAGTTGGCAATCAGTGTCCGTAGGTATGGTATGTGCTTTGCACCTTCGAAGTGCAAAGTACTTCTACAAGACTGGCAGGATTCCAATCCTGTACTCACCCTGGATGGTGAGCAGATAGACGTAGTCGAGAAGTTGGTGTATCTAGGTAGCTGCATAAGTGCTGGTGGGGGTGTGAGTGATGAGATCAATGCACGTATAGTGAAAGCCAGAGCGGCTTATGCCAATCTGGGCCATCTATGGTACCTTCGTGATGTTAGTCTGGCCGTAAAAGGTCGGATCTACAACGCGTCGGTGAGAGCAGTTTTGCTCTATGCTTGTGAAACCTGGCCTCTCCGAGTTGAGGACGTTAGACGACTCTCTGTGTTCGATCATCGCTGTCTCCGAAGGATTGCTGACATTCAGTGGCAACACCATGTCAGTAATGCAAAGGTTCGGCATCGTGTGTTCGGGCACAGAGATGATAATTCAATTGGTGTCACCATCTTGAAACACCGACTTCGGTGGCTTGGACATGTTCTCCGAATGTCGTCCCAGAGAATTCCACGTCGTGCATTGTTTGCCGACTCTGGGTCTGGTTGGAAGAAGCGGAGAGGTGGTCAGTGTATGACATGGTGTCGTGGCATGAAAGAAAGCTGCAAGGGACTGACTTGTGTTGGTCCTTCACGACTCCCTGGTTGGGGTCTGAGAGATGGCGCTACACAGTGGCTAGAGACGTTATCAGATATGGCTCAGAATAGAAGCCAATGGCGATCCTGCTGTAACCTTCTTTTACTTTCTTCATAAAAAGTGGTTGTGTCTCCCTTACCTGAAAGATTTCTTCCGATTGTACCTTTGCGTTCCCTGATTACTAGCACATTACCTTACACCAATCTCTTCGTTACTGTTCTCTCTTTTTTTTTGTTGCGCTCCTTAGCTTTTTTTTCTTTCTTTGTATTCCTCTCGAATTTTCATTGTTTTGTGTCGCGTATATATATTGGCGCTCTCTTGTATCAATATTCATGTGTCCAAATAAATAATAAATAAATAAACATTAAGAAATGAGTATTCAATCGGGAATTGTTACTAACTGTTATTCTCTTTAAAACTTCATTAGCCATCTCATTGTTAAGTAATTTATGACTTTTACTCATGTTTCATTACAAACGTTTTAAATTAATAAAAATTGTCGACTAAGTCGATAAAAGTGCCTCGTAGAATCAGATGTTGAATGTTGTTGAACTTTTTAGTCATGTATAATTGATAAGAAAAAATTCCCTTTACTTAATTCCTAGGTTGTAGGTATCGCAGAAAAATAGTGTTTTTGAGTAGAATATTCTTTGACGTGAGATTATAAACCTCTTTCAAGTGAAAATACACTGTATTTACTGTCGTGTAATATTTTCCATCTCCGTTTCTAATTTGATTGGTTGTTCATTTGGTATATAAAAATATTGGACTCACGTTTTTTATTTCGTATAATTGAATTATCGGTCAAGGTGTGCTGGAAGCTACTGAATCAACATATTAAAAGGTCTGTAGGAAGTTTTCTAAATACTTATTTTAAGGTGACCCAACTGCTTGGTTATTTTTTTCGAACTAGAGGCACTTTGGACCCAGGCTCCTGAGCTTCACTCCTTTATTAATTTCTCAGCAGCTGTACATCTGAAATATTTGGCTTTCAAATATTGGTTAGGGAGTTCGACCGTTCTCCACGCGCGTGAACGCCTAACTACTGAGCCTGCATCCCATGGTGTTAATGTCTATCTTCAACCAATCCACATAAATCTGCTTGACAAATGAATTCCATTGTATCTACATGTTTATTTATCATTCTAAATTACTTATTTTTGTGTGTTATGGTGGAAAAGATCCTCAAAAGCCGTATTCGGAATTTTTATGTTAAAATTGTTGTAGGTGCTCAAAACAAGTGATTAGTTAGTTTTAGGTACCAATACCATGGTGTAAATTAAACACTAGATGGAGTATTAATAATAAAATAATGATATATTTTTGGTACCGCTATGAGTAAAATTTCGGGTTTCTGACGTTTAGCAACTTAGTTTAAGTTGCTTTTTCAGAGATTAAGTAAACAAACAACCGAAATAAAATTGGTCAGTTGTATACTTATTCTCCCATATAATAAAACCACCTAAGAAATTGTGTTTCGTTTTTGTATAGTATTCCAAACTAGACCAGCGGCCTGCTTGAGTATCTGGACAACTCGTTCCTGCAATCTAGATATTTCAACAAGTTGTCTGTTTCTTTGTTCATTTTAACACATCATTATGCCTTATAGTCTCATAACCTATTCAGGTGCGTTTGTGAAAAGTTTAACATTTTACTGTACAAGTTACATTGTGGTCGCTGGCAATTTGCAGAGAAAAGAATTTACATTATTCTGCTAACTTCCAACTGGTGACCATTCAATATTTGTCGTCAGGATCGACCAAGAAGTGCAAATAATTATGTATTGTACCAAAAGTATAATATTGAATAAAGCTAATAATATTAAAATTAGACATATACACGGTGACCACGTGTCATAATTGTGTTACGGCCTATTGACTAGTATGGTCTTTTGAAGGATGACTGGGAGGGGTCAAACCATGATGTTTCATCAATCATTGACTATTTAAATGACCTACTTAAGTACCTATGGTCTCCTTTTGTTTGTTCAAAATGCTACCCATATTATGATGATTTTCCGTTCTATGCGTACACTTTTGTATTAATTAATAAATGTTATTTTCTGTTCTTGCTGTTATCTACTGTTTCGTCAACTATCCAACTTCTCTTTTTAAGGATATTAAATGGGTTCAGTGGTCAACAAGTCGTCGACTTTCGAATGTTTCATATGGAAGCTTAACTGTATTAGTTCTTTGTCGTACCATTCAATACCATTTGAACCAATTGAAGGTAAGATACATTCTTTTTTCGGAATTTCTTTACATCTGTTTCATTTATGAGCTTTCTGAAGTCCGTCGCTGTCAAAAATGCATAATTACTTCTTTAGCTTTATATAATAATTGAATAGAAATTCAATTTGTAGAATATGTATTCAGTGTCAGACTTCTATTTGAAGTTTGTGCTGATGATGTCGTTCAGAAGAACGATGGAAGCTCCACGACCAAACCATCCAGCTCAGAGAACAAAACTCCACCAAAATTCAGTGTCATTTATCATGTTTAGTTCACCAGTTGGATTAATTTTCTCAGGAATTAGTGTTTTTTTATGGTCGAATAAGGTAGCTTCACATTTAGGTACATAGGCATCTTTCATCAATACTAAACTGCTACATCAGAACGTTTGTTTTAAGTGGCTTAATTTCTTCCTTATTTCCCCTTGGGTTCTTTGTTGCATTATATTATTTGTGCACTCCGTACACTCGTACTTGTTTCATATTGAGCATTCTTAGTATGTGCTTAATTAATGAATAAGTAAATTATCTATGATACTCTTTAGATTAAACCTTTAAACTACGAATTCAAAAGCAATACAAAACAAATGAGTATAATCTCTAGTATTTTCGCTGAATATCTTGTCACATCATGTCTTCGTCTGTATTGTATCAATTATTATTTTTAATTGTATAATAGGATTGTACGTTTTTGACGTATTGTAGGCATAACTAACTAACTAGTCTCATCATCCATTGTTTTCATAATTAGCAGTTGAAACTATTTACATGACTTCGTATTGTGTTATGATATTTATTGACTACTTTGTGTACATCAAGAAGTTATTTTAAAATTTATTTTTATCTGTTTGATATGAATTAAAATTTTAAAAAACTTCAACATTCAACTGTAAACTATAAGTAAATGTTATTCTTTATTAATTAGGACAAATACCTTCATGTTAATATTTTGGCAACTCTAGCAAACTTATCCCCCCGAATTACTAAACTTCATCCTCATGCATGTGATACACTAGTTGGGTAAGTAATTTTACATAATCATTTTTTTACACCTTGGATGTAGTTATTAATTTTTAAAAAAAATTACAATTATTCAGATTGTTTACCTAATTATTAGTTTTCATGAAACATACATAGTACCTTTGAATCTTATCACGATTTCACTTTTCTCTCAAATATATCAGTCGTTATTATCGTAACTATAAACTGGTTTATTAATACATAATACGATATAATATAACTACTCACTAGACTTTCTTATGTGTCCTCTAAACAATTAATTGCCAAATATTTTCGTAGTTTAAAATCTTAGTTGGACTAACATTGAGAATTAGGGACTATTGTGATGTCGTTTATTCGTAATATGGGATTCATCGACAGTGCAGATCCAGGAATCTGCTTTAGAAAATCGAATCCAGGACCTTCAATTTCACACATGAATGCCTAATCTCTAAACCACTAGACTCTCGTCAACTCACGATATTGTGTGATCATCTTCCATTGCATATGCCAGCGACCATACCACGTTGAAAGCACCACTTCTCGTCCGATCACCACAGTTAAGCAACGTTGAGCCCGGTCAGTACTTGCATGAGTGACCGGCTGAGAATACCGGGTGTCGCAGGCTTTTAACACCTCTCCCAAACACACACGCCCCCAAATGCCCTGGTACGGCCGAGAGTGGGGAGAGTCCACTCTCCCTCTCGAAATACTCTCACATGTCCACGCGTATATAGCCTCTGCCAGGGAAGTCCTACTCACTGCCTTCTCGCGGCGGGGGTGTTTACGAAAATGAGAAGACGAAAAGCGAATGTCCGGCGCTTTAACCGGATCCCAAACCAATGGCGCACATGGGCTCCAGTATCCTGCGGGAACAAATGGCTTATGAACCAATCGTTGGTCACCGGCTTCCATGGGACTGCATCTCCTTAAGATGCTCCACTGCCTTGTGAGTTAGACTTTCAGGTCGAAGGCTCGGGGAGTGGCCCCCTAAGAAACCCACCTGTTTCGGTTTGGGCGCCCGGGCAGTATCACAGCCCCCACACATATCGAATGAGATTTGTGTGCCGCATATGTATTTGGTGCTTCCTTGTACCAATATCTATGTGTTAAAATAAATAAATAAATAATTCCATTGCATATTGTGGATCACTGTCTCGCGACCGTTATTGTTACCTTGACGTGGTGGTCGGGCTTGGCTATCGTGATGAAGCGACCGAGCTATACTGACTGGAACAGCCGTTCCTCAAGGTCCTACCATGTCAGACAGGTCGGTTGAAGAGCGGTAAGACTAAAAGCAACAAACCTAAGATCCGAAGGTGAAGTCGTACTGCTGACTGTACAGAGGTGTGACAGCAGTAAGGTGTTTCCTCCAGACAACCAGCATGATAGCAATGCTGCCTTCCTACGAGGAGGGGTGGGGTTAGAAAAGGTCGACTTTGAAAATGCGCACCTCGCCTTATCCCACGGATATCTGTCTCCGGCGGTAAGGTCTCAACAAGTACGGAGCTAACACAAAAATCACCCATATAAAGGTCGTGTGTGACCGACCTCAAGCATTTGTCCCTTGGGCACTGTGGTAACGCTCTCAAGTCACTAGGACTACCTGTAATCGAATTTCCTTTTCAGGTACCTCCAGAAGAACCCTTCCACGGTGTGGGCAACCGGGAAGTGATAACCGCCCTCGAACCTCTAACAGCACTCAAGACCACTGTATTCATAATCAACCTCCCTCTTCAATTCCTATTAGTGCTTCGAAGAAAGTGTGTAATTTTCGTAGGTAAAGTTTCTTTAAGTTTCATACGGATTCGCTCATCTTTTTTGTGTTTTTTGCCGTACTTTTAAAGACCTCATTGTTTGATACCTCCTTGTTTAATCCGTTCTTCGTTGGGCTCTCTCAATAAATATTCACAGAAATGTTTGTTTATTTTATTAGCTGAAGTCAGAGGAAAAAAGAATTCAATATTTATTATAATTGAATCATATCTGAGAGATGCTCATTATTCTTTTATTATAGTTATCAGCACTTTGATCTCTTCACAAATTAACATATTTCAAAGCATTCAGAAAAATACATTAACATTAAGAATAAATTTACTAGGCTATAATGATTTTACTGGTTAGTAAATCGGGGTTACTGCGGAAATCTGTTGTAACGTGTGGACTGCAGGTTTTGATAAGCAGCGTTTATATTGATCGGATTAGTGACACGTAAACACGTAATGAACGACCTAGAGTCCCGATTGGCCCTGCTTCCCTGTCTAGCCCACCCAGTTGAGTCCGGAACGCAAGTCACAGCCTCTCAGATATGAATCACTGTATTTCAGACATACTCTGTTTATATACCAACCAAACAAACCGCATCGTACCATAAAATAGAAAACAACATTTACACAATATTTAACAAGTGAAACAAATATCGACCAATAGGAAATGTCCATTTAACGTCCAAGGACACCATTCGACTTTACACGATAATTATTGGTATATTCCTCTGCATACCTAACAAAATCAATCAGGATAATGTGCTACGTGAAATTTGCAAAAAATGTTGCATTACATGTATGACTTTCATCATTTCCAACGCTGGAAATTAAACCCATTATTTCTTCTATATCAGTAGATGGTTATTCTATTGATTTCTAAATTCAATGATGCCTTCTTGTTTGTATATTTTCAGTTTACTGCAATTATTGATCAAGCGTCATAATAAAACTGTGGACATTTTGCGTAAAATGTCTGATGACAACCAATCACAATCGGCTGCCGAAATCACTAAGCTTCTATCAAATACATCACTTATATCATCTAATACACAGGAAGAAATGGTTCGTTTTTGTTGTTTTATGATATGAAAATATGGTTAATGAGAGTATTGTTCAGGTGGTTGTGGCACCGTATATTATGTCACATTCGTTGATTTCATAAACTATTGATCCTTTCTGTTGTGACTTTATGTCCGGCTAGTTATCACATGACTTATCCGCTGATGAAAATACGACTTATACAGTCTTAGCACGGTGCCAAAGCAATGACGTTCAACCGGTATGAGCAGCCTAGCGTCCTTATTGGTTCCATGTTCGCCTAGCCCGTCCAGTTTAGTTCAGAACACCAATACCAGCTTCCAGTATGCGAATCGAATCGAATCATTTATTTCAGACATACTGGGTCTATATATCAAACAAACAAACCTCAACGCACCATAAAATAAGAAATAACATTTGTACACAATAAGGCCAAAAAGTGGTTGTGAACGTGGGAGGAAGTAGTCAATAAACTGAACATACCTTAAGAACAGTAAACCGTACAAAAATAACTTATAGAACAAAATAAAGCTTATGATTTGAGGAATATAGATATACATAATCTAGTTACTGAATATTTATACCATGAGAATATATAAATAATATTAGTCCATTAAAATGTCTCAGACGTTACTCGTAATGTAGTCTTCACTAGGATATAACACTTTCTATGTTTACTCATTATTTCCATGTAATTGTCTTACGAGTAGTAGTGTTATAACCTTTGCTTCGTATAGCGCTTTGTTACTGAACGTGCGTAGAAGATACTAGTTTCTATGTGATGATGCACATTTTAACATTTCCCACATATAATTTTATTCAACATATTCCTAGTTTTGCTTAGTTACAGAACAGGAATAATCATCTACTAATATCCTTATCAGTAGTAAGTTGAAATATCAGTTTCACTGAAGGTCTGACCTTGTTAAGTCGTTTAGAATTCAAAGAATAAACGTTTGTATCTTCTTAAAGTACGAATAAAGCTAATCAAATTTCTTCACAAAATTACTGATTTCGTATTTATGTTTTAAAATGAATTTCATCATTTAACCTCCTGTATTTATAGTTCAACGTGTGTAATGAAGGTCTTTGTTTAATTCCTTACAGCAAAACAATTAATATTAACGTTCATTTGAAAATTACTTATCACAGACATGTTTTGTCTATCTCTAATATTTTTCAGTTGTTACCCTCGTTACGATAACCTACGACCAATATCTGTTTTTTTTGTAGGTTCAAGAATTAGCCTTACTTGAAGAAGTAATTCGAATGCTGTTAGAAATTATCAATTCAATTCTTACACATACGATGGTGTCGAATCCAGATTTAATTTATTCTCTTTTGTATAAAAGGGATTCATTTACATCACTTCGTTCACATCCATCGTTTCAGGTTAGAGTTGTTCATGTAATTGAATTTTCCAATACCTTTATCTTTAATCATTTTCAGGTAATATAGTAGTGATTGTTACGAAAGAACTACTCAAAAAACACTTACATAAACCCATTCCAAAAAATCAAAATGTGACAAATGCTCACTGTTCTAGTCAACTTTAATTTCTTCAATAATCTGACCATCGAATTTGCTTATTAGAACAAATTTGTTTCGATGCTGAAATTAAGCGATAGATTTACTTCTACGATATTTCAATACTGGCAACACAATTTTTCACAATACGTAGTTATGTAATTAATTTAAAAGCAGATGCATAGACCGTTTTTCTTTGTAAATATAAACATAGAATTGGAACTAGTGTGCCTTGGATAGTAGGTTGTAAAAGGAATAACTTATGCCTGTTATCCCTCATGGAGGAGCATAGGCCGCTCTCCAGCATTCTCCATACAACTATGTCCTGGGCAACCCTTCCCAGTTGCTATTCATCCTTTTCATGTCTGTTTCGAATTCTCGACGTAATGTGTTCTTTGGTCTTCCTCTTTTCAGTTTCCATTCAGGGTTCCAAGTTAGCACATTTCTAGTGATACGGTTTGATGATTTCCGTGATGTATGTCATATTCATTTCCATCGTCTTTTCCTAATTTCCTCTTCAGATGGGAGCTGGTTTCTTCTCTCCCACAATAGGTTGTTGCTGATGGTATCCGGCCAACAGATATTGAGTATCTTGCTTAGACAATTTTTATAAATATTTGTAGATGTTCGATGATGGCTGTAGTAGTTCTCCACGTTTCAACTTCGTACAGTAGGACTGACTGTCTTGACATTCGTATTGAAGATTCAGACTTTAAAATTGGTTGGCAGTTGTTTTGAGTTCTATATGTTCCTCAATTGTAGGAATACTACCTCTGCTTCTCCAAACCTTGTCCTTACGTCTGCATCAGATCCGCGCTGTTCATCGATGGTGCTGACCAGATACGTGAAAGTTTCCACGTGTTCCAGAGCTTCTCCTTCAAGAATGATTGAGTTGAATAGCAACTGGGAAGGATTTTCCAGGACAGAAGTGGATGAAAAATACTGATGGGCGGCCTATACTCTAACACAAGGTATAACGGGCGTAAATAATTAGGTAATGCTGCATAGGACTGACTAACGTTTTCACTGTATTAAAACTCATATGGTTAGTATCTGAATATTGCATTTTATCTAAACAAGCACCTACCTCGTTATCAGTAGCTTGGCCAATCGAGTCCCTCTATTCCAACTTCACTAATGATTATTATTCTTTGATTTAATGGTCTAGATATTAATTACTTTTCATCTTTCTAATAATAAACTCGCTTATATCCGTGTTTCTTATTGATAAAAAGATTCAAGTATCTGTACTAGTTGTTTAATTCCAATATAACATCATAATATGTATTTCATATTTTTGAAATTTCAGAATGTGCTACAAAACATTGATATTGTTTTAACTCATTTTTCAAAGAAAATTGAATTAGAATTAGGACCTCAACCAACTCAACCACAAGCTGTTATGCAAGTGATTATAAAACATGTTGGTAATACTCAAAGAAGTTGTAATCTGAAAGTAATTTAACAAATATTATCGATTATTCTGTTAAAATTTCTAATTTTTCACGTTTTTTAATCTTTGTCTACTTTAAATAATAACAAAATTAATGACAGGAAGTAAAAAGTAGAAACAAATGGTTAACAATAAACGAAATTCTGGATTTTCATACAATTCACTGTTACCAATGAAAATTGCTTTTTCTGATCACAACTAGTAGTTGCGTACGTAATTCATTAAGTATCTGTCGTAACTATACAACTATCTCATTTTTAATAACTTTCGTATATTTAGGCGCTTAGTTGACGTAATACATTAAGGATAAAGAACATATTTGTAAAATGTCAGCTCAAACTACAGTTGAGCGTCGACGGTGTGTTTATTTAATGAGAAAATGGTTATAAGATAGAAAATAGTATTAACGGTGGTTTGTTTATGAATTCTATTCACAGTATTTAAAGCGAATTTCTCGTATGAACTATATATTTGCGTGTTAGCATTAAGTACTTGTAGTATGTGTTCAGAATAAAATCTCGTGTTTCAGAAATAGACTGTCGATTATATTCGTTTTTTGGTTCTGTGGAACTTTAAATCCTTTCATCCACCCAGATCCCTTAATAAATGTATACAGAGCAAGAATAACAAGGTTTAAAAATAAAATGAATTCATTCTCTTTCACGGTTTTTCATCAGTTGCATGCAACCTAAAACTAAGATTATTAATATAATTATTAGCATGCTTTATTAGCATAATTTAATGTGTGAAATTTAAGTAAATGTTCGGTATGTTACTAAAATCATTTGACCCAAAGTGTATGAAGAAACATAGTTAAGATCAACGTGTATCACTATGCTGTAAAGTAATAATGGAGAGTAGAACAGATGTTATAGTTCTTAATAATCATAATCAAGATAATATATGTTGTGAAAGTGATAAAGTTGGTGTCTAGATAATTAAACAACAGGATAAAATAAACAAGTATGTGAATATCAATAAGGTTGTGTGATAGATGAATTTCAGAAGACGAATGAATATTAAAGATAAAAAGCTTGTGGACAGGGTTGAATAAACGAACTTCATAGAAGTTATAAGATAAGTATCCAATCATAATGGCAGGGAAAGGTTAGTCACCCTTTCCTGTTGTATATATAGATCAGGTCAAAAACGTTTGAAAGCGATTGCCTCAGCCAAACGGAATAAAATTGCTGTTTTCTATTCGTTTATTATATTACATCCATTACCCACATTCACGTCATGTCCACTATATCCATTAGGTGTCTGGCTATTTCACTTGTAAAGATTTTACTCCCTTTCAGCCGTAGGTTCCTGGGAATGTGTTCAGAAAACCTAGTAAAGACCCTTCTCCCTGCCCTTCTTATATACTTACTACGGCAGGTACATGTAAATTCATAAATGTAATTGGATATGACATCGGGAGGATAAAGATGTATTTTTGAATGGTGTAAAAAACACTTGGCATTGTATAGTGAAACTAATTAGGCAGTAGGAAGACTTCTTTTCAGTGCCGCCGCATCTTTTATCCCCAGTATATAGGTGAGAATTGGAATTGGTTTCACTTGATAATTAGTGATTCATATGCCATAAAACTTGGTTATATCAGTTGTTGTCCACTAACTACTCACATCATAGACTTATATTAACATATAAAAAAAGTGTAAGTCACCCTCATAAAGTAATGTCAATTAGTTTCATGTTTTCCTCCCCTAGCTTACACATGTTCTTTGTATTCTACTTTTTGTACCCCAGAAATTCCCAGATCTGAAATTTAAATATGTAGAAGAAGAATCCCCAGATGAATTTTTCATACCATACGTTTGGTCTGTTGTACGACGCCAGTCAGGCATACATTTTAAGTCTGAATCGCTATTGTTATTCTCGGCTGCTCCTCAAAACATTCAAAATACAACTGAAAACGACGACATTAGTGAAGACAATGATAGTGTTATGAATAATGGCGAATCAAATCATGAGCAAGTACTGGTATAACCATGTCAAACAAGTTTTTTGAACAACCCTCGTTCTATGAGTGCTTGCTGCTAATTCTGTTGTTAAATGTGTTCAGTGTCATGATTTTGACGATAATGAACTTTTATGAAATTTCCTCTTTCAGCTGTCTGTGATCAATATCATGGTTTCGTTTGAATTTAGTTCTTTTTTTCTTTTCTTCACTTTCAATTTTGTTTCTAGTTACACTTATTGTCTTTTTTTACAAATTTTTCATATTTTATTAAAATAGAAAGTTTTTCCATAGGAATTAGTGTCTGATTTCTACCTTGTGTTGGTTATATCATTAAAAAAGGAAAGGTGAATCTGCTCACTTTCTATTAATTAATCACTACTTATTTATATGAGATCGTAATGCATTTACTTTGCCTTAGAGTCAACACAGTCACGGTGAAAACGTTTCCTTGGGAAAATTTAGCCGTTTGATTATTATCATGACTATTCCTCATTACGTTTTGTTCATTAGTGAATTGGGATGTTTACGGACCGTAATATTGGACTGCCTATCTATATGTTCTGTTCTATGCCAAGAATGATGAAAGTTACAGATAATTTATAATAATAACAAGTTGAACAAAGAAATATTTTTCTTCAACTAGTTCCTCATCAGGACTCCACACCAATATTTATGTTTTATCAAATGAATAGGAAGTCAATACCAATTAGTTGGTGGTCAGTCAACTTAACAATGTAGTAATCAGTTAGCTACACAACGTTTAGAAAATTAAAACTAAAGTGACTTTTCATAATCAGCTGTTTATTACAAGTAGTTACATAAGAGTAGGAATAGGAATTGAAACTGGGTTTTTTTCACTGTGAAATTAATGATAAGTAATTAGTACGACGGATGGAGTGGAAGTTAGATAACAAGATTATTAAACTCATTTGTAAAACTTATATTAATGAAGAGCTAGTTGGAAAAAAATATTTCTTTGTTCAGCTTGTCTTTTCAGTGTATTATTGGAAATATTTAATGAAATAATATGTTCACAGAGATTATGTAAATAAATAAGGTAATATGAGTAGAGTCAAGTCAAGTGACTAAAATGAGATCATAAATAAATCCCAATTAACCAATCAAGATTTCAAGATATTATTCCATTATATATGTATCGGAAGTTGCATAGTGGTTGCCTTATCTATGAGGTAGTTTTGATAGTCTATTTACTATACTTCAGTGCATGTTCGTTAGAATTTATCAACTTTACACTTGAACAAATTACAATCAATGATGCAAAATTGTGTGAACATAAAAAGACGATCGTACGCCCGTTACTTCCAATCGACCGAATTTAATTGTTTCCCAGATTTCTTGAACCCTTTTGTTCTGAGGATAAGGCAGCAAATCGGGGGATGAAATAGCAGTAAAAATACATGGCATCTGCAAAGAAACGTTTTATGTTGTTACCTAAATCTTATACAGGTCGGTTGGACCATATCTACGAAACATAGACATAATTGCCAACACATGACCGAAGTTGCATTTCTTAAGTGATGAAATAGTCCAATCCGTTGGTTCGAGTTTTGAGGTATTTTTCATCATTTATAGGTGTACCGAATAAGTGGATGTGGTTTTTGAAGGCTCTTTATATGAACACTTAGTTGAGTCAGAACTTAAGAATGACCTGTCATTAGAATCGTCAGATTCAACTGGTGTTTGCTAATGTTGCCCGCTTTACCGGAAACTTCGAATTTCCTCCGAGGACGGTGAATATATGGGATATGTTTCTGCTCCTCAATTGCTTGAAAACTGGTCTGCATCATCGTCTTTAAGCATACATTCTTTTACAAATATCTCAAATTCAAATATAGTTTTAATCACTATCATTGGTACTATTATTATTTCCCTTTATTAGTTTCATCTCATACTGATTTTTAATGGCAACTTCAGCTAACGCACATTTATGCTAGGCTCTACGTAGATCATAACTTACTGTTGCCACATTCTTGTTTAATAAGCAGTACATTCCTATTGAATCTACATCTCATCTAAATTTTAAAATATAAAAGTGATAGTGGTCTTTCCACTCTTACATAATTCGAATAAAGCAATAACCTATTTATTATTATTAGCTTTATTCAATATTATATTTTTAGTACAACATAGTCTCAGCACAAAAGTATCTCAACAAGTTTCCGTCTCTTGGTCAATCCTGACGACAAATATTGAATGGTCACCAGTTAGAAGTTAGCAGTCCAGGAATTGACATCTGAATAATGTACATTATTTTCGCTGCATATTGCAAGCAACCACGATGTCTGTGATTGGGTTGTACGATTAATAAGCATAATTATATGTTAAAACAAGCAAAAACAGATAACTTGTTGAAATATCTAGAAGATAGAGACAAGTAGCCCAGATGTTGCCTAGTAACTGAAACTGTATCTAGCTAGTGAGTAATAACACTTTTAAAAAAAGTAATTATCAACGAATTTCCGCATACACTTTATTTGACACATTCAAGAGAAATTAGAAATTATCAAATTGAAATACAAATGCTAAACATATATGTTGTATATATACATCATCGAACAAATAATTTACTAGGAAACCTTTTACAAACTGAAGATTTATATATATAGTAAGGGTAAATTACATTTCTACGAACAGTCTCTCTTGACATTATAATGATGAAAGCACTTATAGTTAAAAATTGAGAATAAAAAGTTAATAGAAAAATAGGGATGTTTTTGTTTTCTCAATGTTAAATTCTTTTATTAAAGTAAAAAAAGAAATGCAGCCTCTTCTTGATCTAATTTAGATATTTGTTCAAGATTATTATTATGTACAACAACAGCAGTATTTGATATTTCACAAACATCTAAATCAGTATTATTGAATATATCTGAATTTCCATCGGTAAATTGATTAGGTCCAAGTGGTTCAGAAAAGTTTAATGTTGGAGGAACATTGATTTCTTTAGAAATATTTTCATAGTCATTTAATGTAGATTGTGACTTCTGTGAAACAGAAACAGGTCTGGAATAGAAATCGGAAGGAAATTTACCGTTAGTGTACTGATTAGGTACTTTCCAAATGTATTGATTTATACAATGGATACATATTAGCATCAATAAAAACTGTTCAGTGGTTTTACCATGTTGAAAATTTTACTGACGGCTGAAAGTTTATGAAGTTGTCTACATTTAAATTTAAATGTATGATAAAATAAGTAACTGAGACAGATAAACAATTAAATATCTAACCTATGATGATGTATTGTATTAATGGGAATACAAAACATCAGTACCAAATGCCCTGGTACGACGAGAGTGGAGAGAGTCAGTTCTCTCTATCTCTCAAAATGCTCTTACATGGCCACGTGCATACAACCACTGACAGGGAAATCCCGTTTACTCCCTTCTTACAATGAGGTGTTGTTTACGAAATTAAGAGGAAGAAAAGCGGATGTCCGGCGCTTTAAACGGGTTGGTGGATACGGAGGATTTACCCAGGGGAGTTGGAAAACCCTAATTCCAAACCAATGGTGCACATGGGCTCCAGGATCCTGATTAGACAAATGGAGTATGCACTAATCGTTGGTCACCGGCTACTATCGGACTGCATTCCCTCACGTTGCTCCACTGCCTTGTTGATCAGACCTTTATGTCGAAGGCTCCGGGTGTGGCCTCCTTAAAAGAACACCTGCTTTGGTTTGGGCACGGGGAAATAACCCAGCCCTCACACAAATCGAATGATTTATATGGAGCATATTTGTCGGATGCCTCCTTGTACAAATGTTTATGTGTATAAATAAGTCATAGTCTAAAAGATAATGCCTCTATCAAATAAAGCTTGTCTGAGTGTTTACGTATGACTAATTACTGATTTGTACCCGACCATAAGATGTTAATTTATGGAGTAACTGACATTCCAAATCAACGTGTTTAGTGCGATTCGACCGAACAATTTGAAGTAAAACATAAACATCCACATCGGATTTTATTATGTTTATGATTATATTGTTTGATTATTCTGGTTTCTATACTAAAGTATGGTTTGTTTTAAAGATGAGTAAAATTAGTGAACTAATAAACTTACTCAATATTTCCATTAATTTTTGTTTGAATGGGAGGTATATTTTCTTTTTCTAACATTTCGCATTTGGAATTATTTAAGAGATAATCTTTTTCATGCTGAGAAGCGCAAGGGCTAATTGCAATAGGATTTAAATAAGATGGTAGTTGCATAGTAGTCGATGTAGTTTTTGTTAGAAACTCTTTAAATGTGGGAAGCTTATTTAAAACATCATCAAGAAGACGATAATTTTCAGAATTGTTAGCAAATTGCTGATGATCTGTACAATGTAAATGCTAAAATTAAGAAATAAAATGAAATAACGAAAATTGAAATTACATATTGTTATGCCCCGATGAGCATGGTAACTTTGGAATCTATTGATGGACCAATACAAAACGTATATTTTTATCGTATAATTGTTAATTAACTAAACTATTCATATTCATGTCCCTATTATTATGAGCTTTGTTTTGACCTATGAACCGTTATTATACGAATTACCATTCTTGAATTATGCCCTGTCTATTAATTACTACCTCCCACACTTACAGCCATACTTGGCTAAATCTTGTACAAATGTTATTTTCCATTTTATGGTACGACGTAGTCGGTTTAGTTGGTATATAAACCCAGTATGTTTGAAATAAATGATTCATATTGCAGAGGATGAGATTGCTGTTCTAGACTTAACTGGCTGGGCTAGGCGGAAAGCAGGACCAATAAGGACTCCAGACTTCTCGTACGTGTTTTATGCGTCATTGGTCCGATCGATAATTCACTGCTCTCTAATTGGCGGTATCGTTACGTTATACCTTATCAGGGCACTCAGGCCACAAGTTATAACACATATTATAAAATTGCAATTGAATAGTAGTCTGAAATAGAAATATGTGATATATGTATTGAACTCAATCACTGAAACTTGTAGTTCTGTGTAGGAAACAATTTAGTTCAAGACTATAAATCAGTGATAAATTTATGCTTATTAATCAAACGAAACGTCATAAATCATGAATCATATTAATTAGGCTTTCACTGGATTATACTCCTTGAATAACATCTTCAAACCCTAATGTCTCCGATTACTGCTTAAACGTTTATTACCTCTAACACTACGGGATTTGAATCGACCATTGCATCTTTGTGCTAATGTGGTATGGCA